TGGGAGCAAATTTCGGGATGCAACATGGGGGGTCATAATTTGTCGGGGTGGAGCCAGGTCTCCGAGTTCCATCTTTTGGGGGGAAAGACGGCGAATCGTCGTTCCAGGGCAGAAGCTCTCCATTCGTGAAGTGGCAGGGCACACGCCATGTTCGATCCTGAAAGCACTTAAACAACCGTCAAGCGAGCCTTCAGGGAGGACCGGAAGGGGGCTTCCCTCCCGAAGGTTCTCCGACGCCCAGGTTAGTGAGCGTCCTACCGGGAACAAGTACTGGAGGGAGGGGGGGGGGAGAATTCTACGGGTTAATCATTAGGGGACTCGTCCGAAGATTGAGACTCCTATCTGGTTTATAGTGTTTCAAGAGGGATTCCTACTCGTGAAAAAGGGAACGTAGCGGGTATAAAGGCGAGGTTCCAAGTCATGGATGACTAAACCTTGTCGGCAATCACCCGGGAGGAACGTGGAGTCCACCCATGATCCTGCTGTATGGCTGGGAATATTTTCTCATATGACGGAAAGTCAGCCTCCCTTCTCCCCCCCCCCCTCCTTGAAGGGTTCTTCTTCTATTTATACTCGCCATTCTCTCATCCTGTCTTTTCAAAGCCGCGCACCCGGAGAGCAGGTGGGAGTAATCATTCTGGCGTGTTAGGGGAAGCCGGCCAACTGCCCTGATACAAGTACGCGAGAGTGGATCGGCCGAGCTAGCGTAGCGTGTGTCAGCATCCGACATAACCTAGGCTTACGTGGCGAGCTCTTCTTTAACTCGGTAAAGTGGGTCCCAACACATAGGATGTTGGAGCTGGATTTAGCATCCTAAATCCGGCTCACTCAAGCCAAAAGGATAAATCCAAACTAAGCCAAATCGACTGGGCTTTGACCCTATGGCCTAGGTCCATTCAGCTCTCAACGATCCAGTCCTGAACAACAAGACGTTCCGTTCGACGAGGTCGAGCTCCAGCTCGACCAAATCCCGAGAAACGAGGAAGGATCTAAGCCAAGTCAGAGCATATTCTCACCAGTTCAAACGAGTCTGAAGATCGCAGAAGAAGCTGCTGAACGTGACGAGATTTCCGGCTGAAGCTGCTGCACGTGGCGAGATTTCCGGCTGAAGCTACTGCACGTGGCCGAGATACGTGTTGGCGACGAAGCGAGTTATATAAAGAGGACAAACAGCTTAGTTAAGGGGGGGGGGCTTCCGGACCTGATCTTTTCACCATTTTTCACCTGAAAACTCTGTAACCGCTCCTAGAGCTCTTTTCAGTTCATCTTCTTTATAGAAATCTTTGTAACTGTTTCATTCAACCGATTAATACTAAATTCTTATTTCAGTTATTGTTAACTTATATTGTCAATCTATTCGAGAGAATCTACTCCTTAATCTTTTAAAATTCTTTCTTTACAAAAATATATAAATTTTTTGAGTATAAATTTCTGTATCCTAAATTGGAGATGAATGTGCTGACCATCTCATATTTGTATTCCTTTAGCTTTTTTTTATGCTACTCAAATTTTTAATTCTATTTCACATATCTCTAATTCGCTACCACTAAGACCCTTATACAACTTTCCAAATTATATGAAATTTATATATAACATTTGAATAATTCGTTCACAATACAAATTTTTCAAGTAAGTGTGATTAAATGCGGTATGTCCGATAATTACTATTCATCGACTTAACGTTTTTAAAATACGTTAACTGTTAATTTGGACACCATTGTTTCATGAATTGGTGTTGTTTTGCACTGGTCTACTATGGTATAATATGCGTGAGACAATTTTTAATTATTATGGGTTTCCATTTCGGATCATCTGTTTATAGTAAAGCACAAATTATTTATATTATTTCAAATCATTAGAATAAAATAATTATTTTGTACTAATTGGGAATCGATTGTTCTCTTGTTTGCGTTCGAATCATATAGTAATATAGTTCTTGGTGACTCTTCCTTTTTTTTAGCCAATCTTGGTGACTCTTCTTAAAGTCATTATTTGTTTTTTTTTGGGTATGAATGTTAAGATAAATCATTAATTGTTACCTGAGCTAGATAGGCCTAAGACAGTTGGTATTCTAGCAAAAACCTTTAAGTTTTTTGCATTTATCTATTTTTATTTGTTGTCTAAAACGATTATTTAACAAAAAAAAGTTTTTGATAGTTAATACTTAATATAGATATTACACATAGCATATGAAAAACCATCACAATAAAACGAGAGGAGATCATATATAAATTAATAATAGCATTTGGTTCTGCATACACTAAATTTGATATTTAAGTTTTGTTGAATAATCAATTAGTATACAAAAAAAAAAAAACAATTTGGTGTCTGAAGTAACAAAATAATCGGTAGATGTCTTGACAATGTATTGCTTCTAGGTAGGTGCGCCATATTTTTTCTAAATAGATAATCCATCACCACTAAGTTGTTAGTTGTTTTGATTATTGTAACTTATTCTATATCATTGTAAAATGTGGCTAAAGTAAATACTATTGCAACTGCCTGCTTAATCTAATTCTACCTAATTAAAAGCCCTATATGATAAGGTAATAACTGTAAATCTTTTTTTTATGTTCAAGTTCTTTTTAACCTATAAAGTTGTTTGCAGTTAAGATGATACACTCAACTATTCAGTTTCTTTGACTGGTCAAAATCTCATTTTTACTACAAATATACTATTGCAACTCCATGTGCAACTGCCACGTGTGACTTGTTTACATGTTCTTCTGTAAATAACTTGTGGATTTGACGTGAGTGTGATCCGAATTATTGTAGGGAAAGTGAAGTGTAATTGTGATTTCAACACCTAATCTCTTGACCTATGCTCTGCAGAGACTCAGGCTTTCATTCTTTGTTTATAAGCATTTTCCTTTTTAGTACGGATTTCTAGGTGCTCCTAATTATAAACATTTTCTTAATTTTGGGTACAAATGTTCTAGAAATCCTATAGTTTAATACACATACAGGTTAACCAAAAGAAAAGCAACTACACATACAAATGATGGAATTGATGCTAAATTGGATAGATTTTTGCAGGATCTACAATCTGTCTATATGCTAAATTGCTAACTGCACTCACGATATTCTGCATTTTCGGATGGATGATTAAAAATTACAATTACCCTTTAAATTTTACTATTCTTAAAATAATATTTAAATTAGTATCAAATTAATTATCTTCTATTAATATATACATTTTAAAAAATCATATATAAGTGATTTCCACTCCATTCTGTTATTTGGATCTTTAGTGTATCAACTTCTTTTTTTTTCTTCACTCGTTATAGTTTTACTTGTTCTTCTATAGTGATATCATAGAATAAAAAAATACAAACCTTGAGTTGTTTTTTCAAAACTCTTGAAAAGGTTCGGTTTCTAGAGGATAATAAGTAAACAATTTAATAAATCGTTTTTGGATTTGTTTTTGTCACCTAAAAATTGTCTTTAGATCTAAATTTTAGAATAGCAATAAAATCGTAGTACAAATTAGTATTGTTTTTTTAGAAAACAAAAAATTGGGAGGCAAAGTCATCAAAAGGAGACTGAACATGTAGGGCCGTAGGGATGATATGTGAAAGCTTGGATTCTGATAGAAGTAAGAAGTGAGATATAAATATATTTATCATAAAGTGTAATTACGTAGAATAAGAATGGTATTGGTGTTCCCTTTGTTGTTACTTTCGTACGAATTATCAGTTTTCCCCGAACGACATAGGCATATTTATCAAATACAAGTAGCAATTAATATTTGAAATTAGATTGTAATTGCTTTAACGAAACATGGATTGGATTAGCCGATCTCATCGTTATAACATACATTCAAACTATAACAAGTGGACTATATATATATATATTGGAATTAATCTATAATACGAGTCAGTGAAGCTATCCATAAAAGTCTGGCTACAAAGCTGAACCAATTTATAATATAAATGTGGCAGTTGGTGATCAATAAATTTGTATATATATAAGAACCATGTTCCATATTTGGGAAGGTACCACTGGTTGCCATTAACTTGATCCGACCAAATTCAAACCCAACTATTATTCTATCAAATTTAGCTTTGACTTTTGAAAGTTCTGGTTTATTGAAAGAATAACCAAAATCTTTGTAGTTTCAAGAACCCCACAAAATATAAACATATCATAATCGAATAAACCTTTATCATATGATCACCGCCGATGTTTACCTTTTTTTTTAAGTTGTAAATCACTGAAGTATTTTGTTGGGATTTATGTAGAGAATATTACACTGGTCGGTTATTATATTCTCACATAGGTTACCTATTATTTATTCAATTAAAGAAAATAATAAAATTGTTTTAAGAACATTTCATATTGAATAGTAAAGAGGTCAACTTCTTTTGCAAATGGGAATTTGCGGTTCTACTTTAGCCTAGAAGTCTTCGATCAGCTGAATATCCCGAGGAATATATATTTATATATGTGAAAGAGGTTTACCACGAATATTTGGAGAATAGTACTATTCATTATTAAAATAACTTTTTTAAAACGGTGTCTAATGTTTATTGAACATGTTGGAATAATCTGGCATGAAATCGAATTGTAGATTATATCTTAATTTAGAGGTCAATATTACATTGAGAACACGCACTCCGACTTATTGGTACATATATATACACATTCAAGCACAAAAGATCTAACAAATCCAGCTTATAAATAGATGAAATTTCCATCTGTTAGAGTAAATCGTGTCGGGTATAAGTCTTCATTCTGATGTGTTAACAAGTATGAACGATGTGTTAAAACATAAAACTTTAACAAAGCATCAGCATTTTTCTTTTTCTTTAATTATCTACCTTGTATTTATAAGATTCCACCAATAATAGTATAACCCGTTGGTGCCTAATACATGCACGTGATAACAAATTTTGGTCGCTAGATTCTCTCTCTTGTGTGTATATAAATATATCCACACATACATTCACTAACTCTTCGTTATCATCTTCTCTCATAAAATCTTCCTCTCTCTCTCTAAAATGGTGAAAGGGTCCCAGAAAATCGTGGCCGTAGATCAAGACATACCAATAATAGACATGTCGCAGGAGAGATCACGAGTGTCGATGCAGATAGTCAAAGCTTGCGAGACTCTCGGCTTCTTTAAGGTGGTCAACCACGGTGTTGACCAAACCATTATCTCAAGGATGGAGCAAGAGTCCATCAACTTCTTCGCTAAACCGACCCATGAGAAGATATCCGTTAAACCGGCCAACCAGCCATTCCGGTATGGATTTAGAGAAATCGGGCTCAACGGTGACTCTGGTGAGGTCGAGTACTTGCTGTTTCACACTAACGACCCTGCCTTTCTCTCTCAGCTCTCCTTAAGGTACGTATTTAAATATGTATATTTTAACCATATTTATCAGTTTACGGTTCGAGTGTCTCTCACGTAAGCCTAAAGCATACTATTACCGACAATTAATATACGGTATCATAGTTGTATCTTCATTGAAAATATGCATGCACATTTATGACGAACCTTTGAAGATATTAATGTAATCAATTTACATGTTATTGAGATTTTTATATAACAAATGTAGGCAATATGCATGTCTGTGTTAATTATATTTTAAATCATATTGTATATATATATAAGTGTATGCATATAATTTAATTTAGTACATTTATGTAAAAGAGGACAGTTACCTCATACCAACTTTATTGATACTATAAACTACTAATAAAGCATAAACTATAAACAAACAGCTCATCTTTTTCTCTGTTCAATTAGGTATAGGTTTGTTTTTCATTTATTTTGAGGATTTTATCAATACTGGAGTAAGCTAGAGTAACAGAGTCTCAGTCTATCTCAATAACAGTGTATGTATGATAATTGTGTATCTAGTAATCTACATGGCACATCTATATAATAATTAAATTATTAGAAAATAAATACATGTACTTTCATCATATTTGAAATAGGCTATGGATTTTTAAATAGTTGTAAATCTTTTCATAGTACTTGAGTTTCAACAGTTTTTCGTACTTAACTCAATGATGGTTCATTATTGTCTATTTAATTTTTGTTCTTTGGTATAAAGAAAAAAAAAAGGAGAAACAACTTCTTTTTTTTGGTAAGCAGAAACAACATCTTTCTGAAAGTAGAAATATTAAGGTTTCGTGGTTATTTTCCTTATATTTCCATAATTAAGAAAAACAAAAATAAATCTAGTGCTGATGTGTGACGTTTATGTTGTGACAGCTCGGCAGTGAATTGTTACATAGAAGCAGTTAAGCAGTTGGCTCGTGAGATCTTAGATCTGACGGCTGAGGGACTTCGGGTCCCACCTCACACCTTCAGTAGGTTAATCAGCTCCGTCGATAGTGACTCTGTTCTGAGGGTGAACCATTATCCACCGTCCGATCAGTTTTTCGGTGGAGCCACACTCTCTGATAAATCTGTGTCACTGACCAGGGTTGGCTTTGGAGAACACACCGACCCTCAGATCTTAACAGTTCTTAGATCTAACGGTGTAGCTGGACTCCAAGTGTCAAATTCAGACGGTATGTGGGTCCCTGTCTCCCCTGACCCCTCAGCTTTCTGCGTCAATGTAGGAGACTTGTTACAGGTCGGTGTCATGTTTTTTTTTTATAGATTTTTTTTTTTTTACATTTTATTATAAATTTAATTTAAACTGAAATTAAATCGAAATTTGTTTATAAACTGATTGTTTTATTAACTGGAAGCCCAAAAACAGACATCTAAATTTGAGCCAAACCCGGTTATATTATATCCGAATGAAACTAAACTGAATAAACCAAAATCTTCATGTTTGATCAGCAAAGATCAAAACTGAAATCAATTTAAATTGCAGATAGTTTTATTTAGTCCTAGTTTTTATAAAATGATAAACCACTAAACGTAAGAACTAAACCGTAGACCAAATTGTCTAAAATTTGAAAGTTATGGTACTATTGTTATTGTTTTCCAACTTATGTTACTATTTTTTTTCTTTTTGATTAAAATTTTTGAATTATTTTTAAACTGGTCGTTGGGGTTTATAGGTAATGACGAACGGAAGATTTATAAGCGTAAGGCATAGAGCGTTGACGTTCGGAAAAGAAAGCCGGCTCTCGACGGCGTACTTTGCCGGACCACCACTCCAGGCAAAAATTGGGCCCTTACCAGTGATGGTTAAAGCGGTGAATCAGCCGCGGCTATACCAAACGTTTACTTGGAGCGATTACAAAAAGCTCATGTATTCACTACGACTTGAAGATAGTCGTTTAGACATGTTTCGTACATGTAAATGACAAATGAGAATGATGAGAAGGTGTTTTAGATAACAATGTTTTTTTTTGTGTGTTTTTTTTATAACAATGTTTGTGTTGAGGATATTTTAGCCTAACTACGTACGTTCTCTCAAAGTTTAACGTAAGATTAGGCATAATAGTTTTAATAGATTCGTGTGAAAGTCTTATATAGTTTGTAAACTTGTGTTAAATTAACTTTTAATGAAGTAGCCAAATATGTTTTTTCATTGCATTAAGTGATTTTATAATGTTAAGTTTACGATGATTAAAAAGTGAGAATGATAAGGAATATAAATGTGCTTTTGGGCCATGGATCAAATATTAAGTTTTGGGCTGGTATTGGGCATCTCTTCAAACTTTCTTTAAACGGCCTATCAAAATTTGAATAATTTTGATGTACTTCGTGGTGATGGTGAACCATTTTGCGGGGTCATAAGCTTATAGCATAAACAAAATATTTTATGAGAAATAGTTTAAAATCCACTGGTCTACATTTTCATAGCCATTGTTATAGTTAAAATAACCATTGTTGCGTTAAAAAAAAAGATTTGGCGAAGACCATAACTTAACTGATTTTCTGATTACTATTACCATTATTTGCTATTTTGACAAGATTATGTCTCTAATTTGATCTCTAGTACATGTGAATGAGTGCGTTAATTCAACTTTTCCAAGATAAAAATTTGTGAAAAGGAACCAATAATTAAATAAAAGCAAAATCCCATACCTTGTAACGCGTCTAGAGCTAACTACATGCATTACTGAAAAGATTTGAATACCTTCTCAAACTGGCTTTTTGGGCCTGTTCGATTTGAATAGTGAATAATTTTTAGTAAATTTCAGTTGTCGACGTTCAAGTTCAACTATGTTATGGTTGACAATGGTATAGTGTATATATGTAATACTAAATTATTTGATTTTTGAAATCCAACATTCTACGTATTTACATGTTCAAGACTTCAACTGATTTACTAATTACTATAACTACTTTTACTATTCTGACACTTATCTGATCTCTATGACTCTATGGCTCATTCATTCATATACGTTACGACTTGTGAGTGTGTGCGTTAATTTAACTTTTACAAGCCAGAAATTTGTGAAAAAAATAACAACCAGAAATTTGTGAAAAAAATAACAAATCAGATTTACAATGACCACGGATTATCTAATTTAACTGCTAATATTTTACAATGCAGCTTTTGACATTTGTCTAAATTATAGTAGTTCCTTGTAAAGTTAACTGCATATAATTAGACTTTTGCAGCCTTTGTACATAAAAAAATTAACTGATTAATTTCTTTACGCCTTAAATAATTTTAATAAATCCCATTAACTCGTGCATGTACGTCGGGTTCCCTTTAGTGACCTGTTCCACTTAATATTAGAACAAGTTCCTAAGCAAAGACTTTTGTTGTGTTTCTTACTTTTTCTTTCAGCTTTTTCTTAATTACATTTGAGATTGATTGGTCTCGGTGCTAATAATGCAATGGTTGGTCTCAAAGATGCAATAATGTTCCCAAAACAGGGATTATGAGGAGAAGAAAACAGAATATTTTTTTTCTTTCCTAAAACATCTTTTGAAATAAGACAGAGGACGTATTAATAAAGTAGTATATGTATTAACATTTCTTAGGCTACATGAATACGTGCCATGAAAAACAAACCATTAAAAATAAATATTGATTGTTAGGTTTAATACGGGTTTTTAGCGTTACATGGATGTACGTAGTGTAATAAATGTGATATGTCCTGACCTGAAATCCATTACTATGCCATACTATCATATGGGAAGATGCTATTAAGAATTGCGTGGTCAAGCATTAGATTTATGTTAAATAAGTCAAACATTTTTCTAATTTTACCAATACTACATTTGGAGAAGGTATTATGAGATGAGAGGTGTAGTATAGTAAAATGGGCATGGCCACCTTTCCCAAACTAGTTATATATGCTATGTTAAATAGATATAATGGAAGTAGGAGATGGTCGGACGATCATGCATGCCTCAATAGCCAAGCAGCCTTGGTGTGCAAGAGACTTATTGAGCACCACATGATTTTTGGATAAATTCTGTGTGAAACGAGCCATGTATAACATTTTTACATTACTTTCTTTTCATAGAGAAATGGATTTAATTTTTCTACTTTCTTTTCATAATAAAATGGATTTAATTTTTCTCTCGAATTCAGAGATTTATTTTTCATTTATTTCCGGCCAACTTTTTTTTTTCCAATCAAAGTGTTTTTTAAATTTATAAACTCTCTCAAATTAATCAATTTCTTTGAACTCGTCGTTTCTGGTTTCTATCTTCTATAAATAAATGATTATATTTAAAAATTAAAAATAAAAAACAAAATATGTCTTATATATATATATATATATATTTTATCCCAAAACTATTAATATGTGAAACAGACAGAACACTTCTTGGTAAGCTTCTCTCTTCGAACTTCTGGAGCTTCGTTTTTTTTATTTGTCTTTGAAACACATTTTTCTATCATATTTTTCGGTATTTCATATTTTTTATTTTGTTGAAGATTTGAAAAAAATCTCTATTTTTAATTTTGTTAATGATGTGATGATTTAATATCTTCTTAAAAATATATTCAAATTAATATAATATAATTGGATATTAAATATTGTTTATTCAATTTTTATTGATTAATGTTAATTACCAGCAATAAAACATAATCTTAAATAACAAAAGCATCAAAACTAATGAACTAGAAAAGTAAAAAGTACTAAAAACTAGTTTTAAAAAGGACGGAATTGCCACGTAAACCTCCAATACTCTTTTTAATATATTAAAGATATGTAAGTTTACTTTCTCCGAAAAATGAAAGACAAAACTTTACCCATAACTTTAACCCAAAATAGGATGTAACTGGAACATACAACATAATGACATGCATCCATATATAATCTGTTTAACTTATGCACGAGCTCACTATACATTTAATTTAATAAATTTAAAGGAAACAAAATAATTGGTCTTTAGCAGCACTAACATTTTTTTTTTTTTTTGAAAAATAGCAGCACTAACCTTTTTCCCTAAGGAATCTATCTAGAAGCTCAGAGGAAATGTTATAGAGCATATATATGATATGCGAATGGCACCAGAAAGTCATCAAATTGCTCCTTTTTTGTTTCTATCTTTACAATAAGAAAAAAAATAAGGAGATTATTACAACTTATAATAGAAATGTGTATTAATATCTATAACTATGAATCATATAGTAACTTAATTTATCAAAATATTGTTTTTATCAATATTTATCTATAAGATTGGGATTTGTTAAGAAGTTCGTATTTGTGTTCAAGTCTTTCCTTACAATTAAATGAGTTATGGTGATATCTCAAGTTAGATATCTCTAGATGCTTATTTTGATAGATCATGTTGGGAAATTTTGTTTATAGATAACAAAACTATCTATCTAATCTAATTCAATCCTACTTTAGTCAATTTACCCAAAACTATCCATCTAGATAAACCCAATAATTGAAGAAACAATAGCCACAAGCCACTCGAACTCATTTCAAACTATATAAAAAGATATTATCGATTAAGAGATTGTATCTAAAGATAAAAGACACGTGACAGATGAAGAACACAGGTGTCGAATTGAGACCACTTTGGGTTGCTTATCATGTCCGCACGCACCCTTTTCTTTTGGATTCCCACCCCAGCCGCCATTGCCACTTCTTTTATTTTCCAATTAAAAAGGAACAGCTCGCACGTGCGATTCGTTCACACGTCTCTTCATATTTTTCCACATAATTAATCATCGAAATATTTTAAGACTACAGTATAAGAGAATTAACAAAGCGAAACCAATAATGATTCCACATATCCCAAGAAGGCAATTATTCGTGTGTAAAACTAAAATGCCAATATTCCATTTCACAAAAATTATACTGCCAAATGCCAATATTCCAAAGTAGTTAACATTGTTTTTTTTTTTCTGAAAAGGGGTACAGTTAACATTGTTCTGCTTTTAAAGTTAGAAAAATCATGAAAAAGTAACGTTAAACTTTATCATAAAAACCAATGTTGCTCCATAACTCCAAGTCACTTATCCTTATGATTATATTCTAACAAATAAAATAGTTATTATTTAAACCTAAAACTAGGGTTGGATCTGTGATCCTACCCCGACGTAGTGGAAAAAAAAATACTAAGAAATAATTTGATCCACGTCCTTTTGTTTTAAAATTTAATTAGACTAACTTTATTTGGGTTCATCCCATCTGTACATACATGAGTTGGATTATAATAATCAGTATTCTATATTTCTAAATTTGTAATCATAAGTTCAAAAAAAAAAAAATTATAACCATGATAAAGAATTAGAGACAATGCGACATCATTCACGTACGTTATGTCCCTTTCTTGTATTTAAAATATTGGAAGTTTCCAGCTCGCTAATTCAACTAATAATTATATTTATTAGTAGTAATTACTAAATTGATAAGCGTATAACTTACTGGATGTTCACTTACCACACACATCAATTCCGATCCATTCACTAATGATTACACACTGAACGCCAAAGGGATGTTTTGAACTACCAATTGTCTTAGCTTTTGGGTTCATGGTTAATTAGAAGCAGATTCACACCCAAAAAACGAGAGCTTTACACACACAAAACTACGACCTAACAGTTTCTTTGGGAAATATTCTTAGATTTGTTTTAGTCAATTGGTACTTGGAAAAAAAAAAGGTAAATAGAAATCGGTAGACGTCTTATATTAGATAAACATCAATGAAACAAAGAAATTCATATTTTGTGAGTATAAATTAGTTGGCGTGCAGAACAGTAGTGGGCTAAAAATTATCTTAATGCAGTTATTAGATTATTCAACTGGTTAGGAAAACATTGATTAAACTATAGTATTCAGTATTTTAGAAAAACTGTTATATATATTATCAAAGGTAAATTTTGATCTATTTTTATGAATCTTATAAAAATTCAGACATGAGAAAAAATCACATAAAAATTCAGACATGAGATACACCCTAAGAAATACCAAAAAAATGGAAACGAAAAAGAGGAAAAAAAAAACAAAAACTTATACTTTGTTTTTTTCATTTCAAAGTGATATATATAAATTTCGAAGTGTATCATCAAACTATTTTATGTACTATTTATTAAATAATTATCACATAAATTGCTGCTGTATGAGCCAGTTGTTGAGCTCATCAACACACCACAAGTTTTCCAACGCATCTCCACCGTTGAACAAAGTACTACCATCATTTGTCATCTGATCCAACGTTCCATATACCACCTGATCACCACTGTAGAAACTCGATCCCACGGACTCCGACGACGTCGATGATGAGATGGCAGTGGCCATGCTCGAGTTCTCAGGCGAGTAGTGGGTAGGGGTAAATTCGACATTTTGAGCGGAGGCTATTCTCTCGACGAGACGAGGCATCCAAAGATGTTTGATAGTGTCTTTGAATTGCTTGCTGTTCACGTCACAATTCAGAAGTTTCGCATGTTTTTGAACACGTGTTCTCCAATAATTCTTTATCTCGTTATCTGTTCTTCCAGGTAAATGTTGAGCAATCTTTGACCACCTTCAGACAAAAAAAACGTTAAAACATTGTTAAAATACTCCACAATATTAATATGTATCTATCATTTTCATTTTACTAATTATATACTTATTAAATGGGAACGTTAAACATTTTTTTACTAAATGGTGTACTACAATTTCTCTAATTTTGTACATTGCTAAAAACTAAAAGGACTTGAATTGTCATATCGAGTTACAAATATGATACACAATATTTTGATGTATATACTACTATTATTAAATGGGAACGTTAAACATTTTTTTACTAAATGGTGTACTACTACAATTTCTCTAATGTTTTACCTTAATTAATAAAAACTAAAAGGACTTGAATTGTCATATCGAGTTACAAATATGATTACACATTATTTTGATGTATATAGTACTACTGTTGTAATTGTAACTAAGAACATTCAAATACGCATTAACTTTCAGTTGTCAATTCTCGATTACATTGAATACTGAGCTATTATTTCATAGAGACGTTCGAGAATTGGTCTCTCCATGAATATATTTCCCGTTTTTTTGTTTCAAATAATGTATTATTAAGACTATATTGGTTTCCATAAATAATAAAAGATAGATAAATAAAGGGTTCATACCGATTTCCCCAACGAGAATGGAGTTCAAGAATGATGAATTGTTCTTGGAGGGATATGTCTCCGCGGCGGATGTCCGGGCGGAGATAGTTTAGCCACCGTAATCTACAACTTTTCCCCGTTCTATTAAGTCCTGTCTCCATAATAAAGTATATATAAATATAAATACAATTCATAGAGTACTGTTCAATATTGCATGGACACTAGCCATTATAATTTCCTAAAATCAATAAAATAGCAGTTAATTAGGATTTATCGTATTGGATGGTTGTGAAAAGCTGAAACGTGTTTGAGTTCCACACTCAAAAGGCAAATGAAAAGAACCCCAAAGGAAAATCTAGGACCGACCAATCTTTTTTGTAAGAAAGTACATTTTAAATGACAATAGCGAACTATAGAGATGTCAACTTGTTCTTTGTTACTTTGCCAACTCTAAAGAGGAATATAAACTATACCGACATGGATAAGTCACAGCAATAGGCCCATAGGCATTAGGATACACATGAAAATGGGTTTAAGCTAGATTTGATGAAAATTAAGAATAACATATATTGAGACGAAGAATAGTTCTGATACGAAGAGTACTAATAATAGCAAGGTTAGACCATTCGAATCAATTGAAGACAATTGAGACAATAGCTCTCAGGGTATGATAAGGTCATATAACTGTTTGTTATGATCATTCTGATTGATCTAGATTAATTTACGCAATAAATCCTATCGATATCATGATCATATATTCTAATAGTCTATAATATAAACATCATACATGTATGTAAAAGGGGTAATAAGTTACCAGCAGAATGAGAGAGAGAGTTCCATTTTCCTTCACCGTGAAGAGCAATGTAATTGATGAGCTTCATGTCTTCCTCTACAGTCCATGGGCCTCTTCTTATTTCCGTTTCCGTTTCCATCTTCTTCTCTTCTTCTATTTCTTCCACTTCTTCTTTCTGCTCTAGGGTTTTACAGTTTGGGAGTGTTGCTCTGTTTATATTATGCTGTGATATATTTAGAAATTAAAGAGGATAGACTGATGATTTTGATGATTGTTGAGAGAGAGAGAGAGAGAGAGAGAGAGAGAGAGAGAGAGAGAGAGAGAGAGAGAGAGAGAGAGAGAGAGAGAGAGAGATAGAAAGAAAAAGAGAGGAAAAAAAATACGAAGTAAGAGTCAATAATCTCTTCGAGGAATAAAAAAATATGTGTACTCTATTTGAGTCGTTGTATTAATAAAGTAGTATACGGAGTTCTTCGTCGTCGTCGAGCGAAGAGTGAGAAAATTGATTCCTCCGAGAGAGAGAGAGAGAGAGAGAGAGAGAGCGCTCTCTTTTTTTTGTGCAAATCGATAGACCGCTCTCTATGGGACACATAATAAAGTGGTCTAGTTTTCAGGGTGGGTTTTATAGATATCTATACTATAAAAGATGACACTCTCTCCATATGAATGCCACCTCATCATTTTGATTTATTGTAGAAATGACATGTGTCATTTTAAAAATTTAATAATACAAATTATGTAAAATACAGTTAATGCATAAATTTAATGTATTAAATATGAAGAATTATATAATATATTTTAAGAACAATATATACATAATATCCAAAAACAATTATTGAATATCTATTTTGTAGTAGTTTTTAAAAATCATTAACAAAATTTATGTTTTATATTTAAGAGTGTTTTCTTATTTTTATTTAATATTATAAGATATTATTATAAAAACAATTATAAAAATATAAAAATAACAATTATTTGATATCTTGAATCTTAAAAAGTTAGAAGAAAAATTTATATAATATTTTAATAAACTTTAAAATAATTTTTTATAAACTAATAATTATTTGATAATTTATTTTATTCAAACTTGATTTATTGATAATTTTAAAATATTTAACGCAGCTGTATAAATTAGAATTATAATTTAATTATTTAAACTCATAAAAATATAAAACCATGGCATTGCTATTGTGTAAATGTACGCCGTGAATAAGTATTACATGTTAAAAAGAGTTGTTTCTATCTATGTTGTGCTTGAAGAGTTTTTCTAATTAATTTTTGTTATAAAGTATATTTCTGATCTGCACTATATCCATTTAATATATTCTATATATACAAGGTAAAATATATTTTACATTTTCTTATCAATAAACCATTGATCACATATATAGTTAATATCCACATAATATGTAAATATGTATTGTACGTATATTCAAATACACAATATCCTTTAAAAAATTTTAAATATACTATAAAATAAATTGTAACTACACTTTTTAATAAATTATTTTGTAAAAAAATATCCGCATATCGCGCGGGTACTCATCTAATATTTTTAAGTATGGTAGTACTATAAAATAAATTCTAATTATGTGGGATCGGCATGTTAATATTTAATATTTAAACGCAATATATATGTATTAGACTGCGTAAATTTGTTTACTTTTATCCGTATAAAATAATAATAGTACGAGTCTAACTGGTGACCAAATTAAAGAATGGTGAAGAATAATGAAATTTTTCTTTGTTCCTTAATTTTTTACCATTTATTAGGAATATTGTTTTCACATTATTCTTTACCATTCTTTATTTTAAAAGGAATTATAAAACAAAACTATTTCTTATTAATTTTTGAGAGGAATAAAATATATTTATTTGTTTCTTTTTTTTAATTTCATTCCCATTTATTCCTATGATTTTGTTTCTTTCGTTCTTTTCCTTTTCATTTCTGTTGTTCTTTTAGTGATCACCAGTTAGAGCTTTTAATTCTCCTACACGAATAATATATATAACACGATTATCAAACGCACATCTAATTTGATTTGTACATACATGCGAGCATAATTTTTTATTAAAAACATTTTTTTATAATATTTGAGTTTATCATTTATAATAAATAGATGATTAATCTATATAAATAAATAATATATAATATAAACTAATTTTATATGATTTATAAAATTTACGATTAGATGTTAAAAAAAAGATTACGATTGTTAAGCTTGATGGGTTATCCCGCAAATATCCACAAATACAATTTTTACAGATAATATCAGCTGTTAACGTTCGACAACAGTCATCGCAAACGTTCTCTACCAATTTGAACCATTGTAGATCTCTCAAAATCAAAAGCTTATTCCTACAATTTTTTTGCAATTGAAGCGTTTGTAGATGCACAATTAACAATATTTAAAATCATGATAGTATATATAATGATCTTTAAAAAAAATAAAACTGAAACATTTTAATCACAAATATATATATATATATATATATATATATAAACAAATTTAATATTTTTTAGTTATTATTCACTAAAAACCTATCATAACTTTATATTTAAAATATTTATAAACTAAATTTTCTTGATAAATGTTCTCTTCATCACTAATATATACATGTTTAACAACTATAATTATCTTAATCTAATTTTAATCTTTAAAAAGAAATAATTTATTAATAAAATCATTACTTTAATCTAAGATAAAAATAAATGCAAATATTACACACATATTAATTTATAGTTTGTATTATTAATTTTAAATTAATAATTTTATATCCTCTCATTATAATACAGGTTAATGTTTTTTATAATTATTTTATATGTTTATATTATTAATTTATTATTTAACTACTTCTACAAATGCAAGTTAACTAGTCGTAAGTATTCCACAAACACATCCATTTCTAACTGTTGTACGGTACCAGTTATACAAATCGCTTTACAACGCTGTTTACCGCAATCGCTAGCTTGTACAAACTCTCGCACCCGCAGCCGTGACCACAATGTTTAAACCAGTTGGATTCTAAACTTATATGTGTATATGATTTAAGTTAGAGATAATATATTAATATCTGATTGTTATATTTAAAATTAAGAGTTCGTTTGTTTCTAAATTATATAAAATATAATAGATAACAACATATAAAAAACTTGATTCATAAAATATTATTTTAATATATAGAAAATTATATGCATTAAATAATTAACATGTGTAAGATAAAATTTTCAAATATTTCAAATAAAAACATAAAACCAATCAAAATTATTACTTTTTTTATCTTTCTGTCTTCTTTGACTCACATTTCTTTTTTCTTAACTTTTGAATAATATATTAAACATTAAAATAATCTCAAATGTATTTTATTTTTATTTTTTCCACTAATATAGGTGGATTTCTTTCCAACCTATTTCTATTTAACAAAAAAAAAAAGATTGTTATTTTTCCCCACAATTACAGTGGAAACAATAACATCTCTATTTAAATTCAAAATAAAAATTAGGTGGAGATGCTTTAAACCAGAGATATAGCCCAATATTTTTACAGAAAACCAACGCTGTAGAGATTCATTTTTAATTTTATTTTTACTTCTTATATATAATATTATAATAAAGTTTTCTAAGAGGATAATTATGACTTATTCTTTTATCCATTTTTTTCATTTATAATTTTGAGTGCTTGCTATATAATAAAAATGCACTCATATATTATATAATCTTTTTTATTTATTTAAAATTTTATTTAGTTTTAAATGAACTCATCAAAACATTATGTTTATTTTATGAAATTTGCCATGTCACATTCCAGATCAACAAAACACTAACTTTTTTTCAGATCATCAAAACAATCCAGATCATCAAAACACTAACTTTTTTTCTTTTTTTGATATATCTTATTTTTTTTAACCTAAGAGTATTCTCAAATAATAGTGTATATTTATCTGAATTTCACACAAGATTTATAGTACTACTATCTAGTTATTTATATTTTTATAGTTTATAAAAAACTTTAGTATTAGAGAATATCAATATGTCGTATCTATAATAATTTTATATGTACTTAATAAAATAAAATGTGTTGTAAATGATCAAATTTATAACAAACATACAGTTCTGTCTATTAACAATTAAATCTTAAAATTATTTGTGATTCATAGAACATATTATCTGAATTTTGAATATGCACACATACAAAATTGTTATTAAATATACATGTTCAATCAAATGTGACATCAATAATTGTTAATAGGGTTTTTTTGTAATAAAACCATTTAACTAAAGATGGACTGGATAAAAATCTCTCAGATTAAAAATTCAATAAAAAAAACTCTCAAGTTAAAGTCTATTTATGATAAATACATTCCATCTGCAACAACGTTAAAAAATAAACAGATCAAATTAAATTAAAACATCACGTTTTGAAACGCCCAAAAACAACAAAAATAATATTAAAACAACATGATTGTTTTATAAAAACAGCAAGATATGTTAAATATGTAAAGTCTGTGAACTCTAAAATTTTCAAATTCATTCATCAACTAAAGGTGAACCTAACTTCAAATTATAAGATCATATGAAGTTTTCGTGGATTAGATAGTCGACTGAAAGAAATTGGGAATGAATTGTTGTGGAGATTTGAAATAATTAGAGGTAAAATGGTGACTGTAAAGAGACCAAAAAGGTTCTTTAAAAAATCGGCTAAGCCAAAGGCATGATTTGCTCCTCAGCGTGTTAGAATGCCCATAGGGGATGCTATAATGGTCTTGGTAAAGAAAGAGCAAAACGAAAGATCTGGTGAAGATATTGAAAATGACTTTTTTTTTGTTGTGTGCGCAAATATTGGATTTCATTAGATTCTTAAACCGGACCGATACAAGAATTGAGCGCACATTTTATGATTGAATTAGCTAAACTATTTGTGTCTCTCAATACAAACAAGAAAGAGCAATCGACGAAGAAGGAGGATAGGTTTTGGATATCATAGATGATCCATGAAGCTCTTTGAAGTGAGTCTCTGAATTGATGCCTATGATCACCTTCTGTGAATCAGATGCTATACGGATTTTCTGGATGTCAAGCCGTCGTGCATGTTCGATAGCGAGGAGAGTTGCCGTCGCTTCTGCCATAAGAGGCGATCCGATGTTCTTTGCCCTTGATGCCCCCTTTTGAAGCCAAGGTCTAGTATTTGATTTGAAGATCCAACCAAATCCTGCAGTATTTATGCCCTCCTTCTAGGTTATATCAAGTTTAATTGGAGGGAGCGGTTGTGTTATCCTTGGTTTTGGAGATTTGGTTTAGTTGTGCCATCAACCAATCTCAAGCTAAGATGATCGCCTGGAGAAGGTATTCCTCTGATAAGGTATGTCTCCCTTCGAACATCCTCATATTTCTACTTGTCCACAAAGTCCAAAATATCCGTGGGAAAATTGGATCCTGGCTCAGTCCCGAGGGTGGAAGATTGACTTGGAGTTTTGCAGATTTGACCCCTTGGCGGAAATCTTCGATTTGGTCAAAGACAAGCGGACTACTGTCTGGAGCTTGGACCCATACCTGGAATGCAAATGAGCATCAGAAGAACATATGCGTAGAAGTTTCAAGTTCTCTGCACACACCGAAGGT